CAAGACATATATATATATATATATATATATATATATATATATATATATATATATATATATATATATATATATATATATATATATATATTATGTAAATTAACATGATTTTTTATCACATATAAAACCACGACACGCTTATATGATTTTTCTTTGTGTTTTCCTCCTGAATTATTAATGAGTTTTTGAAATATATATATTGAATGTGAGTTCAAAACTATTGAAACTTGAAAGTCAAATTCTACAGCCATATGTGATATGACTTGTGTAGATCCATTTGACGTGAGACACAAACCAAAGAGCCTGGGTACGAGGCAGGTCTGTAGATTGTTGAATGACACAGGGTCACCTTGTGCTCGTTGGCAAACTGAGACTTTAGAGTCATCGTAGTCAATCTCGTAGTCAATAATTTGAGATTTGAGACCACGTAAAACACTTACTGAAACCTTACTTGGTAATTGATATGTAAATAGAACTTAAAATAACGACGCAGTCAAATTGGCCTTATATATTATTCAATCTATCGTTCCAATATAGACTTAGCGATATGTGTAAAGGTATTTCACCCTGCTGTTCCCTATTCTCGCTCCTCGGTTATAAATAGATTTCATTATTGAGTTGCTGAGTCAATAGCATGGGCATGCAGCATGCATGGACACCGCACCGAAACAAGTTGCATGCCATGAGTAATAGCGAGTAATATAGCTATACTATACTCTATAGAGTATAGTATAGTGGTAAACGCGAACGGTTACCTTGTTGAATCTATCAACTGTGAGTGTAATGACACTCTTCTAGATTGTGAGTTCTGTCAACCATAAATTTATCAAACTGTGGAACGTCAATAGTCAATCGTTTCAAACCTAATCAATAGTTTGAAACCACTGTTGAAACATGTACATCGAAGTGGACAATTACAATGTCAATGTAGGTAGCAAATTTGGGAAGTGTCTATTATCAATTACGGTTTTTCACCGTTTTAAACCAGCTCAAACCTGTCCACCAGGCAGCATAAGTCATAACACTAAAATCTGAAGTCTATGGCCTATGGACCTCACTGCTTGCCGCCCTACTTTTGGCTAAGCCAAACCTTCACCGAAGAGGAAGCAGGATACCCGAGTGCTTTTGAACTATAGCTAGCGGAAAACGTACTTACTGTAAATTCAAGGGCTCAGTTAAAGTAGCTGAATTTAAAAGATTCTTTTTAGTTCAGATCCACGTTTTATGATGACGTCAAGAAACAAGCGTTTTCAAGATTAGGGAATGGGCACACCTGCGGAAAATCTGGTAACATACAACACGAAATCTTTGTGTTGCAATACGGCACTACACAAAAATCGTGGCCTGAAAATGCGCATGTAATTAGGTAAAATTGCTTCCGAATTGTTTCAGCATGTCTTAGCTACTTAGTTGCATACCAAACAATTTGGAAGTATGTGTAGAATTCAAACAATTCAATGAAAATTGGTTGATATTTATTCTATGCCTATGGAAAATAACTAAAAAAAGAATAGGAAAATTGTTTCTTGGTACTGTTGGAATAATTGTATCAAGAAAATGTTTCAATGTTTATTTTGTGTTCCACCATTCACTACTCACTAGACTGCCATATTTTGTTTTGGTAAAAACCAAAAAGGATTAAATATTTCACATCTGTGAAACAATTTCATTGTATAAATATTGCACTATCGAGTTACGGGGGAAAATAGATTCATTGATATATAGACTTAATTTTTATAATAATCGGAGGAAAAATAACTGACATCTTAATTTAACTTTGGCCATGCTACCTACACGAGGCAATTTTTGCTGCACTTACAATTCAATTTCGGATACAGAGCATGCATGTTCTCTAAAAAGTAGTCGCAAGGAAATTGGAAGCATGGCCCACATTCTACTCTGCTGACACTTTGTTTACATAACATACTCTTGATCACTCTTAGCTTTAGGGATGAAATACTAAAAAGTTAATGGGCCAATGCTCACAATTTCCTTGTGACTGCTTTTGAGAGAACATTTCTGTATTTCAGAAACTGCTCAACCTTTGCAGTTTGAACAGTTATATGTCATTGAAGTTCACATGTGAAAATTAAGACTTCAATTATCACTTGATAAAATGGAAATCTTGACTCCTTTGGTTTGTATGGGCACAGTATATAATTCTGATTCTGATTATCATTATATTAAAACATGTAGTATAAAATTAGAACAGACATATTTTTAATACATGTTTGAAGATAATGATTAATGACTCATCCAACCAAAACTTCACGATCACAAACATGAATGAATGCAATCAATAAAATATACACTATACAATCAACACACAATCAATTTCTCTAATAAATAATTTTATTTTGTATAAATATTATAAATAAATATTACGTATTTTTATATGTTTTGTATGTTTAAAATGCTTGGTCCAGCCATGCTTACAAAACAATTAACATTATGTGCAGTGGCGTAACGTTATATCAGGGGGCCCCCCTAGTAGATCTGCCAAAGGCACGAGTCGAGCGCCGTATATGCACGAAATTTCTAGGGGGCCAGGGCATGCTTATCCGGAAAATTTTTGAATTTAGACTCTCTGAAATGCCATTTCCTGGACTTTGGGGAGAGATTTTACAGAATTCTGATGGTCATAAAACTACATTGTAACATATCAGAGGCCCTGACCAATGTTTTTGCTCTATTGCCTAAGCCTGGGGGCCCCCATTTAGGTTGGGGCCCCCGAGTTCTCACGGTCTGAGCCCATAGTAGTTACGCCACTGATTATGTGCAGTTCAACTGCTGAAATATTATAAATTATATCAACTTATTTTTTAAATACATATTTTATTTTTGAACAACCAAGGTTTGTCCATTAGAGTGATGTACTAGTGATAGTTCAGATAATGCAATATTTTGTCCATTTAATCCTTTCATCAGCACCTCACATATCATTTCAATATTTGATTTCAGTTCCTCAGTTTCTGCAATAATTTCTTTCTGTTCATTCAGAAGTCTGGATTTCTCATCCTCCATCTGTGTAAGTGTACCCTCCAAGGCAGATATATTATCAATCTTTCGCTTTCGACATAATCTTGCTGCCTGCTTGTTCTTTCCTTTCCTACGAATATCCTTCGCAATGTTGGATTGTTCTGGTGTTAACGATAAAAGTAGGTCATTAAATCTGCTCACAGGCATCTGTATGAGTTCTTCATCTGGTATTCCGATTGCTGACAATCCTTCATCAGTATTAATACTGACAGGACTACCAGGCAATAAAAAGTCACAACTGTTTGTATTAGGTTCAGTTTTAACTATGGTCTCACCAGCTACCATTTGATTCCCAGTTGGTAAGTAGTTAGATGTCGATTGCCACTGTACAGAATCCGATGATGAGTACATTTCCAGTATATCAAACAAATTTTGTTCATCTAATGTCTGGTCATTGGTACTATTAATGTTTACTGTATTATTTATACCACCAATATTACTAACTGGTGAATCTGTGGTCACAACATTAACCATAGTATTGTTCGCGTTTAAAATGTTATTGTTCAATACATTTTCCAATTCTTCGAGGTTTTTACAATCAGTATTATCACAATCAGCTTTCTCTTGCTTAACTGCGCCATCAAAGTTCACTCCTTCATTGACTTGTTCCAGGTTTGCATAATCCTCTAGGCAGAACAACTCTGGATTCTCGTATGGAGTTAAATCGAGATTCTCGAGCACTTGTTGATAGTCAAATTCTGGAAGGAATTGGTCAAGAGAACCATGTGGAAACGAGTTCTGTCGCAGAGTCGCATGTTCATTGCCCTGCATTGCAGAGCTTGTGTTATTATAGTCAGGCTGATATATAGTAGGGTATGCCATAAAGTTAGTGTTATATGAAGGATAACTTTGCGAATTATACAACTGGTTGTATGCCAAAGGATCCATATTTTGGAAATCCGGTTGAAAGTCTTTATACGAGTTCATTTGAGGCTGATATAAAGCTTGTGGTACTGTCTGCTCGTCGACGACGTATGGCGATTTCCCAGCTGACATATTTCCAAACTGCAACATATTCGCTGCGTTTTGGGCTTGATACGGATGACTTCGAATTCCTACCGTCATAGCTGAATCTTTCTTGTTTAAGCGAAGTAAATTTTTGTAATACACCGTGTTGATGTCTGTAATTGCAACGTTATAAGCTCGAATCGTTCCAACTCATTCGGTTATTGTAGCTTCCTCTGTTTGTTGCGAAATGAATACACTGTGTGACTCAGCTGAAATGCTTAACGCTTATATAGGCTTGCTATGACATAATGTTTCTATTATTACACTAAATCTTCTAGACCATTCATTGGTCCGATAGCTGGTTGACGTCACCATTTGCGTAATTTCTGCCGATGTCTTGGCAACAATGACGTCAGCAGGTCAATAAGTTCGATTGTGTTCGAAGTCCAAAATGGCGGACAGTATTGGGAAATCAGGGGCAAAAGCGGGCATGGAGTCCGGGATTTCAAAGGAAAAATACGCCGAACAGAACAGAATAAATACGTATAGAATACTAGCGAAATATAGGAAACGAAATATGTTGATGTTCAGTGGTTTATTGGCTTCTGTTTGCGGGATTTGTATCCTTTTTCAGCAGACAATCGACGTATGATGCAAGATTTTGTTTTATTCTGACAATTGGCACAGCGGTTGTCAACAATAGTTGAGACTATATTTAACATTTTGTCCTGGGGTTCTTTGCAAAACTCCGACAGATTTAGACAGAGCAGATCCAGGGTTATCAAAGAGATTTTAAGCAAGGCGAAAAAGCACGCTTATTTTAAATATTTAAATATGCAAGTATAGAAACATAGAGAATGACATAAAAATTTACTAATTTATTATGCATGATTAGTCAATGTACATCTTGTTTGGGACTTTGATGAGTACATGCATTGGTGAATTGCAATTTAATGGCAATCGGGTTGTGCATGTATTGAGAAAGCAGACCTGCCAACTCTCACGGTTGTGTCACAATTTTGTATGCTTTCTCACTACAAAGTCTTCAAATCTCATGATTTGTGAGGAAATCTGTATAACATGTATTTATATATTGTACGTTTCCTAATTACTATGGATCAAAAAGTCTGTTCTTTATTTAGCTTGAATGTTTAAAATCACAAATGTCTCTGCTAAAAATACTCCTCATATGTACTGTGTTTAATATTGGAAGTCTTGGAACAAAACTCAGCGTCACAATCACTTCAATCCAAACTGAACGCAATGTTTCTACTGTACAAAACAATGGTTGTATTACTTATTATTTCTAAAATCTCACGGTTTTTCCCAAAATCTCACGACTTTGTAAAATACAACTCCCGCTCTAGGGTTGGCAGGTCTGAGAAATCACCAATTTAATGAGATGTGATTGCCACACAGTCCATTTATTGGTCTGATTGACTGCCCAACAGTTCTAACTGAAAAAGTTTGTAAAGGCTGTAATCCAGGGTGCCAGACTGTAAAGTATTATTTTTGTGCAGGGAATATTTTTGTGGTGCATAGCAGCTAGTTGTGTGGAAATGCAGGACATTTACAGTGAAAATACAAAAAGTGTCCCACTTCCGCTTCTGTAGTTTGTTGTGATTTACTGTAATTTGTTCTGTTTTTCTGTAGCGATTACCGATTTATCGGCAAATACTGCGATAAAATTTAAATTTCATACCTTTTATGCAATGAAACTAACGAAAAATGTATTATTTCCCTTTGCTACAAAGTATCATATTTAAAAAGTAGAGAAAACTAAGTTTTATCGCGGTATTTGCCGATAAATCGGTAATCGCTACAGAAAAACAGAACAAATTACAGTAAATCACAACAAACTACAGAAGCGGAAGTGGGACACTTTTTGTATTTTCACTGTAAGAATGGCTGCATTGTATGCATAGCCAGCCAGCCAGGCAGTCAGTACTCTATGTATACTACTTACAGTACTCTATTGTGTTCTTGTGCATGAAGTGCATATAAGTACATGCAAGTTGAAATAAAATTCATTATTTAATGTTATCAAAAATGTGCAGATTTTGTAGGTAAAATGTCTTCAGACCAACTTTATAGTCTGGCCAGGGTATGTTTTTATTAATTAAGTATAATTTATGCCGAAAATCTTCGGCATGAGTTTGGCAAATTACAACAGTATTTATGAGTACATTTAGCACAGAAAGCACTCTGGCTTGTTATTCAGCATATTTTAGCATGTTTTTGATGGCTTACTGTATGTGTCACTCAGGGTTGAAAACATCAAACTCTGCACTCACTTTGCACTAATATACCAAAGTATATTTTTGTACAGATCAGACTAGCACATACTGTATACAATTGTGTACCTACCATTGGTCACATGCAAGGATGTTAACTAGCCCAGCATGCTGATTGGTAGAGCAATGCTAGTACAAAAATCGAAAGTTTGCCTTGAGGAAAGACAAAATTTATGTCAACTTGGTGATGTTTAACCTTTAGATTTAGCCGACACTAGTATTAATGTTGCAATATGTGATATTTAAAATTAGAATATATACTCTGTGAGAACGATAATTGACAATCATATTGAGCACTAAATTATTTGATAGTTTTAAATATTGTGAACTTGTTTTGAAAAACTAATAACATTGCTGATTCATGAGTTCATGCTCATCCAGCAAGATTACAATGCCACACATGGGCATATCAGATATATTCACCATTGCTGTCATGTGTCTTCATATTGATATAAAAGAAAAAAACAATGCAAAATATTGTGGCTGGCAGCCACTTAAAGAGGGGAAACAAAAAATAAGCTCTCAACCTGGGTTAAAATGATTGTGAATCAAAGCCACTGTCTGGCTTATATCAGTGCTTGTCCTTTTCACCAGACATTAGTGAAAACTATGAGACGTAATGTTTATGCAGATTATATATTATTAGGATAATTATGGCTATATAGTGGTAAGTAGAGTGAAAGCTCTGTAGAACTGGTGGTGGGCTGGTGTGCTAGTTTAGTAACACCAATTACAGTATTTTATAAAGGTGAATTTATGATATTCAGTGAAAGTCAAGGGATAGTAGGGTGATTACAAAGAACAAGATTAGGAAATAGGTATATGTACATACATTATAAGCAAGTTGAGTGTTCTTAAGACCAACAGAAACCTGAACCTTTGTAAATCTCAAGAGATTTTAAACTCTTGCAATATGTATTGTTCAGTTACCAGAATGGTCCCTCACCTCTTTAGCATAAAGGAAGTGAATCTTAACTAATCCATTTCTCTTGACTTGTGTCTTTGTGTGGTATGTCTCTACACGTTTGTCTATTTGACTATTAACTGTATTAAAATGAGTATCATAAGCGTTGTAATACACCACTCAAGCTTAGATTGAACACCATTTTGTTTGAAATAAAACAAATCTCTACATTATAATTTAACTTAGTGACATTTTATTTTTTATTCCAAATTAATTTCACCGGTATTTCGTCCATTGCGGTGAGCTTTTAACCATTGGTAGGCCGCTATTTCGAGCCCTGATTAATGTTTTCAGTTTCCCAAGCATTTTCTACTTTCATACAACCCATGCTCCTATTCTAAAAAATGTCTCATTGGAATGATTTAATCCTTAATCACATACTAGATGCATACTCAATGTTTGCTGTGAGACAAGAAGACTTTTCAGACTTTGAGAAGTGAATTTGATTTTTGCTGCTTCTGCTGAGGGTAAACTAAAAGAATGGAAGGATTATGTTCTTATTCTTTACAAAGGCCTCGAAAACTTTCACACCATGCACAGAAAAAGTACAACATCTGGAACCAATAAAACGTAAATTAATGTAGGGAAGTATACATTAGCCTACATTGTATACTTCCCTACATTAATGTGATTTGTATTTGCCTACATTTAATACTTGTTGTAGAAAACTTAGCTAGCTGTCATAAATGATAATTAAATAAATAAAATTTAATAGGCACATTCAAATATACTGTCACCGAACGGTATGTAGACTTGTTAAACATTTTTATTGTTATGCTCTTGTTGAAATAGTATACGTTTATTTGGGTAATATTTTTGTAATATTTGAAAGCGCTATAGCGCTTTTTAAACTCTGATATCAATTTTGCATGGCAATGTGTGATATATGATTTATTTTTGTGGAAAAGGCAAATAAAATGGAAAACACAGATGGAAATATATATATATATATATATATATATATATATATATATATATATATAATATATAATCCGTATAGCCAAAGCATCTTCGGTATTTCAAATTAGAGAAATTATAATATGCAGCAATACTGAAAATGTGATATCCATGCTTGTTGTTTAATAGAAAACGGACATAAATGTTTTTCCGAATCGTTGTCATGTGATAGTCGGGCACCAAGATAGACAGCTCAGGGGTGGATTTAGGGGTAGTTAAACCGAATTTTTAATTAAAAATTCAAACTGTGGTCCAGTTGTCAAATTTCCTAATACCAAGTCATAATAAAACCAAGTCACACAACAGCGGTCTTCCACGTGAGTTTTGATCGATCTGATACAAACACATATACAGTCCCTCTCGGAAATGTGACATCCGTGTAACAAAAACGTCGTTTGCTTTTGCTCGCTAATAAAAAAATTTTTTCGTCAAATCATAGGAACTATTGTTGTATTGATGTTTCGACCGGAATCCCAACTGTTACTTCTGCATGGACAGTGAATGTCTTAGGTAGGGTTGTCTTAGGAAACATCTGTTTCCAGAATAATTACCTGTATAGATGTTAGTAATGTAGTGTTTTTAGGGAGTAGGTGCCCTTAGTCCCTAACAACTGTTGATGTAAATATTATTATATTTTACTGGATATCGTAGGCCTGTAGTGTCCAAAAACGTTTAATATTAGCTTTTCGGCTGCGCAAACCTCACGCGTTTATTGTGATAGTGAAAAAACAGGAAATCCACGATTACCCTGCGTAGGAAGCAAAGACGATGTATTGTTCTTCATTAAAGATTTTACTTGTATCCACTTTGAAAAGATATTTTCAAGTATACAATTAGGAACTACACTACTCATTTGTTTCACAAGACAAACGTTTCCTCGTTTTTTAATAATTATTTGAAAACTTATCACGCAAGAGCATTCTAAGCTTGCTAAACTTACGACTATAAAAGCTACACATGAGTAAAGGACGGAAATTTTGGAAGAGGGTTTCTCATGCATACGATCTTTCAATTGGATTATATATTATATATATATATATATATATATATATATATATATATATATATATATATATATATATATATATATATATATATATATATATATATATATATATATATATATATATATATATATATATATATATATATGGCATCAATCGAACTGTTCGAAGTCCCCATGAAGGGAAAAAGAGCATGGATCCTAGTTGGGAATAGCATTTCAATACTGTTATTACTGAATACTGAAATAGTCAAAGAATATTTGAAACACATGCATATGCATACAGCACTATACAGCAGCCTGACTGTCACATTGCTGCCAGTATATACGATTGATGTTTCACCACATTCCATGAAGTCAGGATATTTCAAACTTACTGTTGGAATATTGCTGTATTAAATTATTTAATGTTTAATTATAGTTGTTGAATAATATTCGTCACGTGAAAATGAATGGCATATTTAATTTTGCAAATACCGCGACGTCATGCATGGCAGAAAAGTGCCATGTTTTAAATTATACGCCGTACGTACGACTCGAACGAGGCGAGTTATCAAACGGAATAGTGATTCTGTCTTATTTTGTAACGTTTGCTTTGTAATAAAATCGATGTATCGTTTATTCCAAATTTGTTTTACTTAGTTACAGCTAAATAATTTAGTTGTTGTGTAATCGAGGCGAGCAGTGCCAGTGTATTTAGCTAAAAACTTGAAACGTATATTCTGCCGGAATATCTTAAAAAGGTTAATATATACTGTACTATAATTTTACATGTATATATCTACCTCGTATATGTAATATAGAACTTTCAAGTACTTAATATCAATTGTAAGTGAAGTGCTTGCACTGATGCATGGGTTCCAAAGTACCAATTATTAAGCGATGAACACACCTAAAGTCAACTTTATATTGACAACGCAGTGTTTTTCTGCGTAGGAAGCAAAGGCGATGTATTGACTATTGTTCTTCATTTAAGACTTTGCTTAGATCCACTTTTGAAAAGATATTTTCAAGTACAATGGAAACTGCACTACTCACTTATTTCACATGACAAACATTTCCTCGTTCTTTAATAATTATTTGAAAACCTACCACGCAAGAGCATCCCAGCCTCGTATCCTTAAAGGAAGAAATTTTGGAAGAGGAATTCTCATACGATCTTTCTAATGGACTATTTTCCCGCTCTACATATGGCATAACTCGAAATTTGATCTAAGAATCTTTGAACATGCATATAGCAGCCTGACTGTCATATTGCCGCCAGTATGATTGATGTTTTATCACATATTTCAAACTTACTGTTGGAATATTGATGTATCAAACTATTTAATGTTTAATTATAGTTGCTGAACAATATTCGTCACGTGAAAATGAATTATATTATATAATACTGGTGACGTCATCGTTAAAGAAAGTGCCATGGATGTTTTAAATTTGAGATAGGCGAGTTATCAAACGGGACAGTGATTATAATACTAATTTTATACGCGCATATATCTACCTCATGTGTGCGTTTAAGTAGGGATTTGAAATTGTGCTCTCCCCATCTCGAATTTGGTATAGTGTGGGTGACCCAATATATAGACCTCCCTATAGAGTGATAAAACGTCACATGATCTGAAATGGGTGATTTGTAATGGGAGTGAGGAGGTTCTATAACTGGAGGTCTATTCAAGCAGCGGTATAGTAAGAGAGGAATGTGATTATTGGCTATACGAATATTTCCATGACAGCAGTTGCTATGTTATGTCTATAAAAATATGCGAAAAACAAAGATAAAGTAATTTCTATTGGGCATGAACAAATACCCTCGCCAATTATAGCAAATTATCTCGATTGAAATTTGTCATGCAACCTCCAGGTTAAAACTAATGTAGGCGTATTATTGTAGGCGTAATACATTTTAGAAGTGCTTGAATTGCAAGTGCTTGAATTACTGAGTGTTTATCCCACAATATATCGTGCAATGATAAAAGAATGACTGTTATTTTCACTTTTATAAGCTAGATCTTCCATCCATAGCATTAAATAATAAATATCTCGTGCATATTACCACTGTGTCTTTTAAAATTCTTGGCAGCCAGCCTTCACCGAATTCCTTCCGCTCGCACTTTCGCGAGAGAATAAATTTTCTTTTCTCATGTTTGCAAAGAGCATCATATCACGAGGCTCCGGTTATAATTCAGACAATCAGGAAATGCTCTTGACAAAAGTTGACAAATTTGAGCATATATAGACAGTGTTTCTATGTAGATGCGTGCAAACGACAGTCACCAAAGCTACGAAACTGTCATTTCGATAACCCTGCACTTTGTCTAGGACTATAGATCAGCTTGTTAATATACACTTGTATATTATTGGGTCTCAGAAATTCTAAGAGAAACATACATTTTAAAAATTAATTTGTCGTTCTGCCTTTTAAAGCTCCGTAGTTAATAGTATATCTATTAACTATGAAAGCACACGTAGCTAGTGCCTCCTACTGTGATTCAGCTGACAAAATCTATCCTTTATTCCAAGGCATATTTTCTTAATTTTGAACTTATTCGCACAAATTCCTTCAATATAATAGGCCTATTAAATCCTGGCAAGGAACGGCTAAAGAGTATGGATATTTTTATGATTGCACTGTATACCAAAGCATGCTGAACTGACAAGTCTCGCGAGAAAATGACTTGCATATTCTGTTGCAATTACTTACCGATTATATGACGTCATTGTTTGTATACAAGTACATCGGTCAATCAAGGCGATGCATATATGATGATATTAGCTAAACTCTAAGTCATATCACAGAAACTCACCATGATGTGTTTATCATAATGCCCGCCTTTTATGCATTTGAAAGTTTGTTATATCCCTATAGACGTAGACGAAACTTTGAGTTTTGAATGGAAGATGCATGATATGATGTGTGATATTGTTTCAATATTTGCAGTCACGAGGCCTAGCCTATTATGAATACAGGGTTTGTGGAATGGCTAATTTCTGTCTTTTATATATATATATATATATATATATATATATATATATATATATATATATATATATATATATATATATATATATATATATATATATATATAGTATATATATATATATAGTGTATAATATATATATAGTGTATAATATATATATATATATATATATATATATATATATATATATATATATATATATATATATATATATATATATATATATATATATATATATATGGAAACTTTGTCGAGTTTTTAATTACTGTACAAAATTTCAGACAATTTGGTTTAGTTTAAGCCCTTTAACTATTTATTTTATTCTAAAAAATCAGCTTTTCGCATGCTTAATTAATAGCCTTTACCTAATTTGCATATTGCTGACATATGCAAATTAGGCAAATGCATTAATTAAGCATGCGAAAAGCTGATTTTTAGGAAAAATGTAACTTTGCGTGAATAGTTAAAGGGTTTAAACTAAACCAAATTTTCTGAAATTTTGTACAGTAATTAAAAACCCGACACATTTTCCATCTATTAACTCAAAATATGATTACAACTTTTAAATTTTGTGCGCGAGCCATTTTTAGTTTGTTGGAAAAGACACACCCCCCTGGTTCACAAAATTTGAGTTCAAGAAATTTTTTTCATTATTCTACATTATAAGTACTCAAAGAAGCTATATATAAAAACCGGATACAAATAGGTGTTTAGCGAAATTGAGAGCAATTTCAAATCTGTTCAGTTTTTTTCTATACACCCTGTATATATATATATTGTGAAATAAAGTTCATATGAAGTAATTCAAGTTTGTCTTCTAATCTTATCAGCTCTACTACGGTATTGAGCACTCTACTCATATATGATTCCAAACTCGATACTTGTCTATATATATATATATATATATATATATATATATATATATATATATATATATATATATATATATATATATATATATATATATATACACAAAAACTTAGCATATTTATTACTATACAGTTTTGTACCACGAAACACATATATATATATATATATATATATATATATATATATATATATATATATATATATATATATATATTTTTGTTTTACCTCAAAAAACCACAACAGTCTGTTTCATAACAGTCTATACGGATGAAACAGACTGTTGTGGTTTTTTGAGGTAGAACAAAAAACTATATTACGCTCTATCTATATTGTATTGAGCACTGTTTGTGTTAGATATATAGATATAGACGGACAGCGGTCATACGCACGGACATGCGCATTAGATATGTAGATCGGCCATGCTTATGTATTATTCATATTTTGTTAAAAGTATAATCTAAATACACGACAGTGGCGACGAATTTGGGATTGTTATAAGTCCAGAAATGACGACGATTGGAAAAATTGATGTTTTTGATGAAACCCAAGAAAGCTGGGAAACGTATGTCGAACGAGTACAACATTTTTTCGCTGCAAACGATGTCGACGACAATCATCAAGTGCCAACTCTGCTGAGTTTGATTGGAAGCAAAACGTATTCATTATTAAAGGATTTACTTTTGCCAGAAAAGCCTGCAGACAAGAACTTTGATGAAATAGTAAGTACATTACAGAAGCATTTAAATCCTAAACCACTAGAAATAGCCGAACGGTTTCGTTTTTATAAGAGAAATCAGCAAGATGGGGAGAGCATTTTAAGTTATATAGCTGAGTTAAAGAAATTAACCACACATTGCAATTCTGGAAGTAACTTGGAAGAAACCTTGCGCGACAGATTGGTGTGTGGATTAAGTAATCAGCAAATTCAGAAACGTCTCCTTGCAGAGTCAAAATTAAAATTCTCCAAAGCTGTTGACATAGCAGTTGCTATGGAAACAGCCACTCGAGATGCTACAGAGATCCACAGCAAGGGTAGAGAAGAAAAACCTCTTGGTCTTGACAAACTGACACTGAACAGACCCTCGAATAGATCAGATAGTGGCCCACCTTCCCCTGTAGTGTGTTATCGATGTGGAGCTAATACCCATGTTGCAACTGAGTGTAGATTTAAGAAAGAAGTCTGTCACAAGTGTGGAAAGAGAGGTCATATTCAAAGAGCTTGCCGGGCACAACAAAGCCAGGGGCCCGGTAGACCCTCGCCCAGATCAAGATACCAGAAATCGACCAATGCCATAGAGACTGAACCAGATGAGTATGAACACTTGTTGAATAACCTAGAAGTTCATAATGTAGACAAATCAAACAGTGATGTCATATGGGTTGACGTGAAAGTTGAAAATCAACCACTATCCATGGAACTAGACACAGGATCGGCCGTGTCCATTTTGTCATATGACATGTTCTTGGAAAGATTTCGCGACAAGAAGTTGGAGAAAACAACCACCGTACTAAAGACCTATACTGGTGAATTGATTGTTCCAGTTGGTTGCCTTACCATGCAAGTTGAATACTTAGATCAATCATGTCAATTGCCATTCCATGTAGTCCAGACTAAGGGTCCAGTGTTAATGGGTCGAGATTGGCTTCACAAGCTTCGCCTCGACTGGAAAACCATCAAGTTGTTGAAATCCTCAGATTCCAGCCATAGAAACCCTGGCACGACTACACAAGAGAAGCTGAAAAACCTGTTGAACACGTATGCAGAGGTTTTTGAAGACAAGCTGGGAACTTTCAAATCTGCCAAAGCAAGGATAACTCTCAAAGAAGGTAGTCAACCACAGTTTCGCAAAGCTCGTCAGGTCCCATATTCCTTACGACCGAAAGTGGAGGAAGAACTGAAGAGACTTCAGAGCGAAGGTATTTTGTCGAAAGTAGAGTGGAGTGATTGGGCGACACCGATTGTACCAGTGCCGAAACAAGATGGTTCAGTCCGTATTTGTGGTGACTTCAAAGGTACTATTAACCCAACACTGCAAGCAGAACAGTATCCTCTGCCTCGAATCGAAGATATATTTGCCCATTTAGCTGGTGGGAAAAAGCTTTCCAAGATTGACCTGCGCCAAGCTTACCATCAGATTGAGCTGGAGGAAGAATCCAAGAAGTACCTTACAATTAATACGTCCATGGGCTTGTTTCAATACAATCGATTGGTTTTGGTATTACCTCAGCTCCCGCCATTTGGCAGCGTACCATGGATCAGATTCTGGAAGGAACTTCTGGTATTAGTTGTATCCTAGATGATATGATTGTGACGGGTAAAAGCGACGCAGAGCATATGGCTAACCTGGAGGAGGTCCTTCGACGGCTGCACCACCATGGGTTAAGAGCCAATAAATCCAAGTGTGAGTTCTTCAAAGAAAAGATCACGTTCTGTGGTCACGACATTAATAGTGAAGGCCTGCACAAGACCACCGACAAGACAGCTGCAATGGTGAATGCCCCTCGCCCCCAGAGTGTTGCAGAGGTACGCTCCTTCCT